CCCACTTACTTCAGTGACAAGAGAGTTGGGCCTTGTACCTTTAGTTAGGCAAAACAAATTCTGATCTCATTCTCTGCAGCATCCAAAAAAAAAAAAAACCCCAGGAGGGGAAAACTGTTGAAATTAAACCACCAAGTCACCACTTAGAGTAGACATGAATGATTTGGAGATGAGTCAGCTGAAGTTCTAATAAATGGGATGAAAAAGCAGTCAGGTTTAGCGAGAAATTGATACCTTCCTAGTACAGACTGTAGTCTCATGTGCATTCAATGTGAAGAAATTATACTTGATGTGAATCAGTAGGATGAGCTGAAGTCATTGTAAAATGAAATGGCTGTACGTTGGTGCTGAATAGGGAAGAATTTATTAGGGGAGAAGATAAAGGAATTACTGGAGTTTAGTTTTGGAGGCTTGTGAATAGCCCTGACTTATGTACATCATCACCACTTGTGCCATTAAACCAACGTATTTCCTCCTTTTGCACAGTGTGCAAGAGACTTTGGGGGTAGCTAGTGTGGAGGAAAGGTGAGAGATTCCTTTTAATCTCTCTACAAATTATCTGTGTAAAAACAGATTTCAATTAAGGAGCTCTGGAAGCAGTCACACAACCTGACTGTTCCCATCTGCTATGGACTAAGTTACTGTTGCACGCTTAATAGCTGTATTCTTGCCTAACCTCCATGGGCACCGAGTGGTCTCACTGCAATGAAACTTGAATGACTCCACTGGATGAAAAGTGGACCAGGATATGGGGAACCTCTTCAGGTGGCCTACTCCCCCTGCCCTGCCTGCCATACAACAGTTACCTAGGGCTCCTTTCGTCTTCTTGTTGCAAGAACAAATGTTGGATAGGCGAAGGTGGGAAGAGTTGGCCTGGCCTGGGTAGCACAGGGAAGCACAGCTCAAAAGGAAATGAGTTGGTGGCTTAATCATTGAATCATAGAAAGGTAGGGTTGGAAGGGACCTCAGGAAGTCATCTAGTCCAACCCGCTGCTCAAATCAGGGCCATCCCCACCTAGATCATTCCAGCCAGGGCTTTGTCAAGCCGGGCCTTAAAAACATCCACAGATGGAGAGTCCACCACCACTCTGGGTAACCTGTTCCAGTGCTTCACCACCCTCCTAATGAGAGAGTTTTTCCTAATATCCAATCTAAACTTCCCTTGCTGCAACTTGAGCCCATTGCTCCTTGTTCTGTCATCACTGAGAATGGTTTAGCTCCATCCTCTTAATCATCTGGGCACTTTCAGTGACAGTGCTGCGCATGCAGGGGGAAAATGCTGCTGCAGGGGCAAAATCCTTGTCCCAGCGCACATGACTACACAGCTGGGGTGAGAGGGCTTTATACTTTTTGTTTTGGCTACTAAGCAGTAGCAGAGCCAAGTCAGACTTGCAGGATGTGGTGGAGAACAACCCGTGGATTCTACAGAGTTCACCTGACCATATCCCCACACTTCCTTGGGATCTGTGCTTCACTGAGCTTAGTGACTGTGGTCCATGAGCATCAGGTGTACTAAGTCTGGGTCTCCTGGGAACTGCACTGATTTTGCTATGTTTGGAGCCTACTGAGCAGGAGTAGCAGGGTTTGCCACCAACAGTGGATAGTTCAGGTTGAACGGGATAAGAATTTGGTTGTTCATGAGTTAATGCCTGCTCAACCTCTACCCTCTTTGGAGTCACAGCTGGCAGCTCTGTAGTCAATGACAACCCAGCAGGGAGCCAGCTGGGCTGCTGCTGTGTGTATGTGAGATCTGAGTAGAGCATTGCCGGGTCAGTCTCCTAAGCACCTAGTGAAGGATGTGTAGGATTAGAGGTAGGATTTTCTGCAGAATTTTTTCAGCTGCTATCTTTTGATGGCCCTGCCCTTTGGCTCCACTCTAATGCAGGGACAGAGCCATTGTATTTCTGAATATTTGTGTCCCTTTATGCTTTTTGTGAGCTAAATCTTTTAAGTGAGGGCAAATTTTCAAAACCTGCTAAGCTCATGAGGAGGCAGTACTAACAATGAATAAAAGCATGAGTTTTAAACAGGCCCTCCCCACAGCTTGCCTACTGTATACGCTTATTTATCCTGACTTGTCCAGACAAATGACTACTTACCTGACTCTCTGGTTATTCATTGTGCTCTCTGGCACAATACCTGATTTGTATGGACAACCTAATTAAATTGACTAAAAATTATGTGAATAAAAGCACTTAAATTATATATTTTTTGCAGGAGATGATCCTAAAGCTTGTTGGACAGAGGTAAAAGACTGAAAGGGAGGAAAGCTAGCTTGGAATAGACAGAGGAAGGTAGTTAGCCACATTAATCTGGATCAGGCAGAATAAAGGGCCAAGTTGCACCTTACAGGCTAACTCATTCAGAGATGTTTCAAACTATGAACCATAACCATAAACTTATGCATCTCTGAAATAGTCTATAAGGTGCAACTCTGCCCTGTTTTTTGCTTAAAAGGGACAAGTTGCTTTCTTTGCTAGATACGTGAACAATTTTGGCCCATGTTCACCAAAGCATTTCCAGTAAGTACTAAGGTTTGTGACTGGACACTCAACTAAAACTAACAATGATTTTGAAGTCACTGTACAGTCATTTTAATAAACATTTTCCAGAGATCAGTTTACCTTTCCATTGAGAAATCAAAACATTGTTTTTGGCCAGCAAATTTGTCAATGAACACTCTGAAGAGCAACTTTGTGTAGCTGAAAACCTATTCTTCTATTTAGTTTCAATACCAAATTTCCACCTATTTTTATTAACATGGGAGTTGAGACACATTTCATGCTGCTACAATCCTGACTTTTAACTTGACTTTGATTCTGTGTCGGTTAACTTCTTTCCCACAAGCAGTGTGACTGGGAAGCAGATGGTGGCTCTCCTGCCATTTTCTAGTTCTCAGAAGCAGACTAGGAATGACAGAGAATGGCAAGAGAGTTGTCATCTGCTTCCTAGACTTCCCAGTTCTCTGGCAGTAATCAGCACCAGCCCTGTACCTGATAGAAAAGCCTTCCCCCAGTGTATCAGTAAGGCTGCACTGGTTGGCATATTAGGGATTACAGCCGCAGTTCGTTCTTCTCTCTTCTGCATGGAAGAGTTGTTATTTTAAATTTTAATTCATACTACAGAGTGAGTACCAGCATTATATAGGCTGCTGTTTCTCCTAGCAGGAGCCCCAGACAAGCCACATTTCAAGTTTCTGACTTTGGCCCAGCTATTAATTACCTGTGGGGGAGGGGATGGGGAGAGTGAGATCATGATTGTTAGGGCTATGCGAAGCTTTGGTTCCTGATTCGATTTGGCGGATATTTGGCCTGATTCGGTGCCCAAATCTCTGAATCCAAATCAAATTAGAGGACCCTTTAATCTCTCCAGATCGATTCAGGCAGATTCAACGATTTGGACATAGACACAGTTTTAAATATTTTGTCTACATACCTCAAGGTACCAGGCGGCGCGTGATTGCTGCAGTGCTGGAGCGCATGGAGTGTCCCACAGGAGCACAGGGGACTCCCCAGTGCACTCAGCAGCAGACCTAGAAGTGGACCAGAAGCACTTCCGGGTCCACCAGGGAGCATGCTTGGGGGCCCCCTGGCTGGGTGACTGGTGCCTCCTGGGTCTGGGGGGCACCTGGGGTCCCCCTGTGCCTGATTGCTGAGCTGGGGGGGGGGGGGGGAG